ACACATTCTTTACTTGCGTCCATAGCACTGATCCATTTTTGTGCTTGCTGCTGATCTCATGTTGTGTGAACAATTCTCATACCTTGTCATTTCTGGATTTTTTTTTCTTTTAATAATTTATTTCTTGCAACGTTTGATTTGAGCACTGTCCGCAATAATGATTTGCTCAGTTCAAGAATATTACTACAAATTCAGGGTGGGGGTGGCATGCGCCCCGCCCTTCTTAAAATGAGGTCCCTGTAGGAGGGGCGACACGATTCTTGGCCTTTCCTGGAATGCACTAACCCCCACTGCACCAAATAAATCAATAGACCCACTCCCCCCCCCCTCTTTTATTTTTTGTACAGAATCCTTTCTCTGTGATCAAACAAGTTGCTGAATTTCTGGATAAAACCAACTTGGATGACGTCACGATCTCTCGCATCGCTGCACATTGCAGTTTTGACAAAATGAAGGAAAACCCAATGACCAACCACAGTGACGTCTATTCTATAAATAGCGCCGTGTCACCACTGCTCAGAAAAGGTGAGGTACTAAGCGTGCTTTGTTGACGTATGTTTCAAACAGTGAGTGAGATTTTGGGTTGGGGAGGGGGAGGTGAGGGGTTGTGGTTATCGGGAGTGTTTGAATTTACGCTGTGCATCAAAAGATGAAAGACTTGTTCATTACAATACCATTTTAAAAGGCTTTTACCAATTCGAAATAGTAGAACAAGGTGTGTGGAAGCTTGAATTGAAAGACAGGACAATACGATATGAACGTTTCGGCTAAGAGCCTTCTTCAGCTGACGGGGCAGATGAGAATAGCACAAGAAGTAGAAAAACGTTAAAAACTGAAGTGATCCAGGTCATATCTAATTGTCCTGTCTTTCACTCCAAGCTTCCACAAACCTTCTTCTACTATTTCCTTCACACAGCCTGAACGCAGTCCTTCATTTATGATCTCTGACTTATTCGCCTAGGGTTTTTGTTTCTTGTTATCACATTTAATATCACAAATGTCTCTTTAAGTTCCTCTGTCACACTAAATGAATATAGTTTTGGTCTTATAAAAAGCGTATACGTGATATTGTAATGCTGGCAAACAATATCTGAGGTGTGTGTCTGGCTATGAAAAGTAGGTTAAACGGACCAGTGATCTCATTTGGTGTGTTTGTTGAGTGTCTTTCCAGGAATGGTGGGAGATTGGAAGACAGTGTTCACAGTCAAACAGAATGAAGATTTTGACAAACTGTATCAAGAGAAGCTCGGCCATCTAAGGATACCATTTACGTACGAGCTGGACTATTGACCATTGAGTCTTGACTTGATGGACCCACTTTCTTGCTCAACTCCCAACGAGACGAGGTCATTTCTGTGCATTTATCGGAAGTAGTGGTAGCAGATATCTCATTTTCTAAACAAAAATTACCAGACGTAGTAGTAGACGTGTCATGTACTAATAGCAATTAGTGGTATCAGACTTTTAAGGATCTCATCCTTTGTATCAAATATGTATTACATGACTTGGGGTACTGGGGTAAATTACTCTACAATGAAATAAAAAAGGAGTGTTCCTTGTTACTAGACTTATTTATTTATGGCAACACTGTATCTGGCTCCTGTGTTTAAAGCAGCACACCCAAATGTATTGTAGTTCCAAGTGATTGGACAACAAGCCCAACAGAACATCTTGTTTTGTAAACCCTACTTTTGCCTAGTCCCCCAACTCTTTAATCTTTTGCTCAAAGATGTCAAGAGCTGAAATGTCTTTCAAAAGATGGTTTTCCACTAAAATGATTATCAAAAGCAGAGAAATCAACTGAAAGTCAAAGACAGTATCCATGTTGCTCTGCTATGTAAAAATATTTCAATAATAGATATTGCATCAAAGAAGGAAACAATAATTTCTCCAAAAACAATAGTGAACAGGTTTAAAAAAAAAAATTTGTTTTGTTCATAATGAGGATTTTATTCTATTATTTTATGCCATTCATTGGATGTTTAAAAAACTATTTTTAATTGTATGCTCTGAATAGAAACTAGAAAGTGATCATTTTTACATTGAAATAGTCCATAATTTTCTCCCTTCCAAATCATTGGAGGGTGGGGGAAATCAGCATAAACAAATTTATTTGGGCTACCCAATACTAGACATACTTAACAGTAACAGTTCCCGGACCCGCTGGGTACATTGTCAATCATGTCAGTGAAATAAACTCTTAAAAATTGTGTTTAATTAAAAAAATCTTATCTCAATTATAGGTTTGTGTCTGAACCGCAAGACAGAATTTTTCTTTAAACTTTTATATTAAAAAACGGGGGTAGGGGGAAGGGGTAAAGATGGCAAAACTTGACATGAGGGGAGAGGAAATGTACTGAGATCCTATAATGTCATGGTTTGTTGGTGGTGGTGATGTGGGGGGAGGGGGCGGACTGCTCAAGAAGTCTCTGACAGTGATTTTCAAAAAGAATTGCTCCACAAAATGAAACTGGTAAAAGTAAGCCAATTTCAAAACAAAATATTACATGGTCTGTGTGTATATATATATTAGCAGTATATGTACGTGTGTCTGTATAGATTAGGATCTCCTTGATTTTAAGTAAGCTTATCTTACAAAGAATAATCACTACACTCTGTTAGTTGGGAACCATAAAGTGTGCTTTCCCCAAAAATTAACCCCCCCCCCCCCCCCCAATATATTATAGTTCCTACCTTTTTTTTCCAATGAAAACTGCTGCCCTAAGTCACCCCAAGTCATCCATTAGTATGTGAGCCTTTTTGGTCCTATATGTGTACACTGGCGGACATTAAGCTTGCTTAACTTAAGACATTTAGGAGCTCAAATCCTACCATCGTGTCATAAGTTTTTCTGTCTCAGAGATTCCGGACATTCCAATACTTTTCTTATAAATTGTTCAATTTTTAAAAACCCGGGAAACATCTTAAAAGCAATTATTTTTTTATTCAAAACATTGGTTATGGTACAATAAAATTTAAATCAGACTTGTCTAAATGATCTCTTTCATCAATGTCACTACTTGACTTTATCTTCTCACGAAGGACTGCCTCCACAATCTTTGCACATGGAACAGACTACACACAACCACAAGACACATAATGCTGACTTTGTCCTAATTTATTGTCAAAATGGATGATTTTTTCTGTTTGAACAGCTGCATACTAAGTCTGAAATTTTCAGGGTCCAGAACTCCTGATGGGTAGACAGCACTCTGGTCATACTTCTGGAAGTGGGTGAAAAACCATTTGTGTTAACAAGCAAAATATGAAATATACCAAACAAAAATACACAACCATTGAATTTAAATATTTCGACATCTCCAGGTCTGTTGTGTGAATAAAGTTGCATATTTTCTCTCTGAATATGGGGTAACTGATCAATACTTTCACAGTATGTAAAGTGATGATGCCCATTAGACCACATGGTGTTTGGAATAAAAAAATAATTAATCATATATAATTTCCTATTACCACTGTGTTGTAGCACACAGTTATATAAATATAAACAACAACAAAACTTCTCAAGTTACTTAGGGTAATCGTACACAATTAAATTATCTGGCAGTTGATAAAAGTGAGTTCAGACCTGCCAACCTGGCAAGAAAATAAAATCTGTAGGGAGGTGCGCGCAGGAGGGAAGGAGGGGCACCGCCACCGGGGGGGTGGGGGGGGGGGGGGGGGGGGGGGGGGGCGTTGGTTTAGATCTACATACTAATGCACAAGCCTTTTTTTTTTGTAAATAAAGAAATTGTAAATAAAGAAATCTAAAGTTAGCTCCATTGTCTTAGCAGGACAGCACAGAACATGAGAAAAACATTACTGGAAATGTTAATACACCAATGTATACAGAACAGAATAATCTATTTTATGACATATGTACACAGGCTGCTAAGACTTTGAACTCTTACTAAGAGTTCAATTTTCTAGCATGTCCCTAGTGGCCATTTTACTCTTGTCCAACAGCTCTTTGGACAACTGAAGGTTAGCATTGCAATTGATTTTAGTTACAAACAAGTTAGAAAGGGTATCACCTTTCATGCTGGCCCTTGTTTCATTGAAAGTTTCCTTCACAATCTTCTAGCATTCTGCGAGTCTGGAAACACTTATTTGACTCTGGCATTAAAACGATCGGAGTTGGCTAAAGAAATATTTCCTTCAATAAGAAAGGTCGCTTTGATAAAAACAAGGCAGTGTCTCCACGTCAGGCGACCGGACAAATAGTGTGGGAGATATTCATCCGGCGGGCATATCACGCTTTATTTAACATTGTCACTTTTTAACCATTTTTTCATTATATATACCAGCAATGGTTCTAGTATTTCTTTTGTAGAATTGAACATATTTCTTTTTCATGTAAATGTCCAGACTATCTTGAAGTTGTTGAAATGATATACTGTAAACTCTGATAGACTGTTAGCGGTCACGTAGCAAGGGTGACGGACAAATATCTCATACACAATACCTCGTGCAACTTTATTACGGCGGTCATGTGAATATATAATAGCCGGACGAATATCTAGAGAACTTGTTCACTTATTCGTCAGGTCGCCGGACATGCAGACACTTCGTAAAAGCAAATGCAACACTTCCTGTCGCACCCGATTTTACAAAATTTTTTTGTTGCTTTCGGATTTTTATGGTGGGTGAAAAATTATAATGTTCGGAAAATCGGGTTTGTCGGAATGAGGAGTTAAAAATCTGTATAAATCTGAAAAAATCAGAAAGGTTGGTAGGTCTGTGAGTTATAGCAAGCCAGCTATTAACTTATGTGACACTTAATCACAATGAGTAAGCATAGCTCTAAAATATTATGATAACAATAACAGAAACTATTATGTCAATGAGCCACTAGTGGCAGTCTAGATAGATGTCAATGAGCCAGTAGTGGCAGTCCATATAGATATGATAAATTGAGGTTAGAAGACTCCAAAGTTTGTGTGCTTTTAGGGGGAGGGAAAGAGGGTCCATCAGTGTCTTAAAATAATGTTTGGATACCACTGTTACATAAAGAAGCAACAACTTACTGGATCAATCCTACACAACTGTCTACGGATCTCCAGATCTTTTCTCGCAGTCAAAGCTCGCCTGAATAGCCCAAAGTTGGCCAGTAGCCCCGACCTCTCCAAGGCTTTAGCTTTATAGAGTTTGTGATAGGCTGAAGTGCCGCTGTACAGCTTAAACTCAGGTTTCTGAGCTTGTGTCAGAGACGGTGTCCTGACAGGTTTGGTGATGTCCGTCCGTTTAGATAAGGACTTATGGGAGGAAGTGGTCAGTGGCTTGGACGGAGCTGTCACCTCACTGGTTGAGATCAAGGGTTTAGTGTCAATGGAAGGCACTTCAACTTTGAGTGTGTCCGCAGAAGTGGACCGAACTTCAACATTGGCTATTTTGTCTTCCTGTGAGCTTGTGCTATTTGGAGAAGTTGTTTGTTGATCAGGAGAGTTATCTGCTTTTGCTTCTTCTTTCAATTCTGGGGAGAAAGATCAAAACTTATAACCTTACATTACTCTAACTAAATTATTTCTAAAAGTCCCATATACAAACCATTTATAAATTTTTAAAAATTTAATTTCATAACATAGCGAGTTTTAACATTTTTTCCTCCTACAAATCCATTGGCAATTATAAAAAAAAAGGTATATACACCTGAAGGTTTCTCAAGAGCTGCAAGGTCTTCCAGCTGTTTTTGACAGATGACCTGAACTTCCTGATACAACTTCTCCCCAGCGTAAGTCTGCGACAGCCCCATTTCTGCAAACAAACTGGCAGCTTGGAACCTCTGGAACACAGGGGCACTCGAAGTATCTGGTTTAATGGCCGGCAACAGGCTCGCCATGTCAATGTCCAGTATCCCGACGATGGTACGCTTTGTCAGTCGTTCACCCTCCTCATCAAGGTCATTCTCGTCAGACGAGATTTCCTCGTAGCCCTCGTCATCAGTGTTTCGCTTTCTCTTCTCCTTAATCGGCTTCTCTTTTTGTATGTCTTCAACGATTTTCAAATATGGAATGTTCTTTTCTAGAACAGGTCTGTAGAAGAATAGTTTACATATTAATTCATTTAATTGTCAATATTTATGGTGAAAATGACTATGAGTAAAGGAAATCAGTGATACATTTCAAACGGTTTGAAACAGTGTTTTATGTTGGCCATTGGCAAACTCCCTTTCCTGATCCTGTGGCTCACACAATTGGTATTACTAAAAGTCTCCTTAAGATAAGATACTTTTAGTGCTCCAAATAAACGTTTTTTGTTGTTGTTTTTTTCCATTTATTGTGCATATTTTTTTCAGTCGTCAAAATCCTTGTTTTAGTTTTTTGTTGTTCCTTAAACTAATAATAACAAAGCTACGATGAGACTTATTTGGCCAAATGAATGAAAAATGAGCACTGCATTTGCTACATAATCTGAAACATTGTTGTTTTTAAATAAAAAAAAGAAAAGAGCAAATGTATATATGGCCTTAAGAATAACAAGATAAGAACATTTTTGTATCATTAAATTGGAAAAAAATATGATTAAACTTACAAAACTCTGAAGTATAAAATAAAAAAGTTTATGATAATAATATTTGTTTCCTTAAGTAAAATCATTACTGACATTAGGATTGAGGGAAGTTGGTTAACTAAAGAGAAAAACAACATAGCCATTGATAAATTTAACAACAGAGTTGGCGACAGACTGCCATCATACTTTTCTTGTAAGGCCTCCACAATGTTCCTTGAGTCTTGGTCCTGCCGAATGTCCCTCATCTCTCCATATCTTCCTGTCGCGGCTGGGCTTCGCCTGTTCCTGGGAAACTCTGGCTGGTGGTCAAGGTCTTCAACTTGATGCTAGGAGGACAATGACCAAAGGAGTTTTCCAATAACGAGGAGAATCAATGCACAGAACGTCACAATAATCAATCAACAAAAAAAATGAATGAATCATCACAATAATCATTAATGAGGAAAATTAATGACCATCACAATAATCATTCATGAGGAAAAAATTAATGAACCATCACAATGATCAATCATGAGGAAAATTAATGAACCATCACAATGATCAATCATGAGGAAAATTAATGAACCATCACAATGATCAATCATGAGGAAAATTAATGAACCATCACAATAATCAATGTTTTAAACTTGAGATCCATGGTGTCAGACTGTTTTAAACTTGAGATCTATAGTGTCTGACTGCAAAAACTATGTATAAATAGCCGTGCCCAGACTTTTTCAACAGCTTTAAAACAGTCACACCAAAATATGAGGAATGTTTGAAAACGGGATTTCTCAAAGCTGTTACAGCTAACTTATGACAAATATGAGCACACATTAAGAAACAGTTCTAACCTTTTTAGACTTGCCATCAATGAGAATGTTATCTGCATCATCATCCTCTGACCAGTCACTGAACACATCTTGTTGGCCATCATCTTGTTTCAGGAAAGAAACCAAATTTTCTAATTAGTCATAAAGCAAAAAAAAACACAAAATGTCAATAATCAAATAATAAAGTAAAAGAAAGGTTAAATAGTGCAGCTAGCTTTGACTTAAAAAGTTACCAATACAATTTTCTATCATTATTTCATACAATGAACATTCCAGATTGTATTTATGTGCTTAGAGAAATTTTAAAATCTAGTTTTGATTACTACACATTTTTTGGGCACATCTAGAGCTAAAAGGGTGTCTAGGAATGTCTACAATTACTTTTCTCATATCACTAACATGTAGAGCTAAGAGGGTGTCTAGGAATGTCTACCATTACATTTCTCATATCACTAATAGCTAGAGCTAAGAGGGTGTCTAGGAATGTCTATCATTACATTTCCCATATCACTAACATCTAGAGCTAAGAGGGTGTCTAGGAATGTCTACCATTACATTTCTCAAATCACTAACATGTAGAGCTAAGAGGGTGTCTAGGAATGTCTACCATTACATTTCCAATATAACTAACATCTAGATCTAAGAGAGTGTCTAGGAATGTCTACCATTACATTTCTCATATCACTAACATCTAGAGCTAAGAGGGTGTCTAGGAATGTCTATCATTACATTTCTCATATCACTAACATCTAGAGCTAAGAGGGTGTTTAGGAATGTCTATCATTACATTTCTCATATCACTAACATCTAGAGCTAAGAGGGTGTCTAGGAATGTCTACCATTACATTTCTCATATCACTAACATCTAGAGCTAAGAGGGTGTTTAGGAATGGCTACCATTACATTTCTCATATCACTGACATCTAGAGCTAAGAGGGTGTCTAGGAATGTCTACCATTACATTTCTCATATCACTAACATCTAGAGCTAAGAGGGTGTCTAGGAATGTCTACCATTACATTTCTCATATCACTAACATCTAGAGCTAAGAGGGTGTTTAGGAATGTCTACCATTACATTTCTCATATCACTAACATCTAGAGCTAAGAGGGTGTCTAGGAATGTCTACCATTACATTTCTCATATCACTAACATCTAGAGCTAAGAGGGTGTTTAGGAATGTCTACCATTACATTTCTCATATCACTAACATCTAGAGCTAAGAGGGTGTTTAGGAATGTCTACCATTACATTTCTCATATCACTAACATCTAGAGCTAAGAGGGTGTTTAGGAATGGCTACCATTACATTTCTCATATCACTGACATCTAGAGCTAAGAGGGTGTCTAGGAATGTCTACCATTACATTTCTCATATCACTAACATCTAGAGCTAAGAGGGTGTCTAGGAATGTCTACCATTACATTTCTCATATCACTAACATCTAGAGCTAAGAGGGTGTTTAGGAATGGCTACCATTACATTTCTCATATCACTGACATCTAGAGCTAAGAGGGTGTCTAGGAATGTCTACCATTACATTTCTCATATCACTAACATCTAGAGCTAAGAGGGTGTCTAGGAATGTCTACCATTACATTTCTCATATCACTAACATCTAGAGCTAAGAGGGTGTTTAGGAATGCCTACCATTACATTTCTCATATCAATAACATCTAGAGCTAAGAGGGTGTTTAGGAATGTCTACCATTACATTTCTCATATCACTGATAGCTAGATTTAAAAAAGAAAAAAAAACAGTTTCTAAACTAAATCATATAGTGAAGCTTTTTTTTTTTTTACATAACAGGGGCATATTTCATTAACAATAAAATTAAATAACAAGATAATAAGATTAAACTGCCTTAAAATTGGCCATTACATAACACCGTTATTAGTTTACTGGAAATTAGTATGAAAGAAACTTGTTTAACGGAAAATTATTTGATGGAAGTTTGTTTGAAAATAAATGAAATAAGGTGAAACGACCAAGCACAAAAATTTTATTTAAAAAGTTTACATTTTCCCCAGGTCTCACTCGCATCTTCCATTTAAGAATTAAAAAAAAAAATTCCATTTAACAAATTTAATTTTGAAGAAATATTTCGCTAAAGTTTTCGTTCTAGCAAATAGCCACCACAATTTTTCTTTTAAGAAATTTCTTTCACAAAAATTTCTGCATACGCTATTATTGCTAATGACGTATGTGGAAAAATAAGCAAAAAGTTTGTAAATAAAAAGCTAAATAATAAAAGATATGACAGTGTAAAAATGGTCAGTTTAACATCACTCACCAAGTCCATCTCCCAACATGGCTGCAGCAATGTCCCCTCCTTCAAGTTTGGCTGGCAAAGATTCTAGTAATAAAAAAATAATCTATGCCTTTAATGGTATGCCTAATTCACTTTATTAAATCATACATTATCACAATTCAATTTGAAAATATTTTACCAACTCCTGCTTCAACACTTTATAGCCACATGACCCCAGGGGCGTGTGAATTCCTCAATAATCTCCCCTTCTAGTTAAACAATAAGTGTTCGTAATCTAGTCTATGCTGTCGTTATTTCCTCAACTTTTCCCAATGATCCCACCTAACTAGTCCATTGCCTTTACTTCTACCATGCATGTGTTTTTTAACAACTTTCAGCCCTTGTTAAAACCTTATGAATGCCATTTATAGTTGTTTAATCCTATCAATAGTTAACAATGAACAGACGTCAATAATCATTCATCAGAATGTCTGGATCTGTCTAGTATAGACAGGCATTAGCTGCCAATAAAGAAATACAATTTTGGGCTCGAGCTTTAAAAAAAATAGGAATGTATTATAATAAAATTTATATATTTTAAATAAAATTTATTTTTGAATTCTTCTATTTGTCTTATGAAAATATGAAATTAAATTGCTACCAACTTACTACTTGTGTTATAACTTTTTTAGACTTTATATGGTATCCTTCCGTCTTTGCAAGACGATTGAGTTGCTATGAACACTTCAACAAATGGCTCACAAGGCCGATACTGGAATGGCAGTCTCGGGGGCATTTCTTGAGAATCTTGACGCCTGGTTAGAGTTGGTCTTCCGTTTTGTTCTTTTTGGTGCAAGGGCTTCGTTTTGCGCATCTTCTGCATTTTTGACTCATTCATACACAGCTGTTCGCCAGCTGGAACCTTGCTCAGCAATGATCTCCCATTCGTTGATTTCTATGTTCGCTTCCCTCATGGTCATTTTGAAAATGCTTATAAATCTCATGCGTGGATGTCCAATAAGTCTTCTCCCATTCTGCCAACCCTCCATACATCAGCTTCTTTGGAATATGGCCTTCCTCCATTCTCCTTACATGGCCTAACCAGCGAAGAGCCCTCTTTCTAAGAGCGGAGAATATGCTACACATTTTTGCACGCTCCAAGACCTCTGTGTTAGGAACCCTGTCCTGCCATCGAATGCTTAAAATACGACGCAGACATCTTTGATAGACGCTGTTTAGTTTCCACTCATGACTGATATATGTGGTCCACACTTCACTATCATATAGGAGTGTACTAAGCACACATGCCTGATAGACGCTTAGTTTTGAGCTATCAGTTATTTTAAAATTATTCCACATCCACTTAGACTTTACAAGGATAAAAAGATTGGCGCTAAATTAAGTTTATATGTGAAGAATATTTTGACTGACCGCTGTCTGAAGATTTCCTTCTACGCTTCTCATCAAGACCGCCACTGTGACTGCTCCGCCTTGACTCTGAGTCTGATCGAGTGTGAGACCTTGACCTCTCCCTTTTCTTTACCCTCTCATTTGTTTTACTTTTCTGTCATTAAAAAAATGAATGACAAATATGAGAATATATTATGTACAAATGGATGACATGACGTTAAGAGTATTTCTTTAATTATTTTCTGGAATTCAAAATTAACAGTTCCGGTACAATATTGAACTATGAATGGTCAAAATTTGTATCTAAAAATGAGAACCATCACTGTCATTATTTTATCCTGTAATTTGAACTGTCATTAAATTTTTTTTTTGTATCCAGCTTCTAAAAGTACCAAAATGCACTGGGCTGCAGTAGGTCAAACTGTACCTCATATCTCCTGCTGTCAGTAGGCCTCCTCCTGTCTCTGCTGGGGGAAAGAGATTTGGTGCGATCTTGGTCTCTTTCTTTTTCTTTATCCCTCCCAGCAGATGGAGCTGGCGAGTGGGAAGACTTTCCAGGAGACTTGGCAGTGTCAATCACACGTTTACTGACTGTAGGGGACCTTGCAGAAGCTCGTTTCAACTCGGGAGATTTTGAAGACCTTTTTGAAGATTTGGTTTGTGAGTGACGTGAGTCTCCACTTTTTTGAGAACCTTTTGGTGAAGGAGTTCTAGAGGGTTTTTCTCTGAAATTGAAAATTTCATTGTCAGATTATATCCATTCAATTTTTGTCATTGATATTTTCATCAATTTACTATAGTGGTGTATCAAGCTAGCATCCTAAAATAACCAAAATTATTCAAAAAATTTAAATAAAATGTCAGCTCAAGTGTGATACCATCAGCAAAGACACACATGCTTAGACAGAAATGCTCACAAAATTTAGATCACTAGTTAACTTGGTATATTTTGAGTAAACATGAGGATAGTTTATTGACTAAAATACAACTTTAAATTAAATCTATTAAATTATTGCCAAACATTGGTGTCATACATTTGCAAGCAATAAATTAGGGGGGCCATTGTCTAGATCAGTCAGTTTTGACTCCAAAAAACATAGTTCTTGAAAAGAAATTTGGCTCTCAAAATTTATTTAATCGTCCTGCTGCTGATTATTGGTCTTTTATATAAAAGATACATTACCTAAATGTTTAAGCCCCATGAGGATAATATCTGAACATGAAATAATCCAATAAAATCCTTTACAAAAATTATTATTACCTTAGATCATGTTTTTTTTAAATACTGTAACAAGGGTCAGCTGCACAAGAGAGGTCAATTTTATTCACAATTTGTCAGCTTAATCAAACATGAACTACTTCTCAAGCAGAATTTTGATTACAACAAATTTAATTAACAAATAATTTTACATATCTAAAACTTACTTTCCAGGTTCATCTTTTTTCCCAGACTTATCATCTTTATCCTTGACCGATTCTTTCCCCCTACTGGTTTCACTGACTTTGGAGGTCGTTACTTTTTTGTCTGGAGCCCTCAGTCCCCTGCCTGCAAGCCTGCCTCCAATGACAGGTTTGGCCTTATCAGAACTTTTAGATTCTTCCGTTTTCTTGGGGCTCTTCTTACCCCCAAAACTTTTGGTGGGCTTTTTCTTGCTGACCACAGTTTCAGTTTGTGAGAACAATGTGGCAAGTGATGGCTCATCCCTGGCAAGGGGGGACTCCTCTTTTCCAGATTCTACTTTAACCACTTTCATGACGACACTCTGCTTGCTGCCCCCGCCAGACTTGTCAACGTTTTTAGATTTTGCATCTCTATCAGACGGCTTGTCTCTGGATGAGGGTTCAGCTGTAAATTTGGTGCCACTTCTCGGCAGCTTGCTTTCGGAGCTGCCCTCATCTTTTCCACTTCTGCCGTCTTTCTCTTTAGAATTTCTCTTGGATAGTGTTTCTGTGGAACCCTCTCTCTGTTTCCAGTCACGTTTCTCTCCTCCTTCTTTTCCACCCAACTCATCACGAAATCCTGGTGCTTTCTGCTGGGACCTGTCCCTTATGTCCGGATCAGGAAGAAGAGCAGATTTACCTCCCTCTCCTCCTCCTCCAAGATGTGGTAAAAGTCTTTCTCCTCTTCCTCCACCCCTTCTATCATCTCTACCTCCACCAAACTCCCTTCCACCATCCTCTCTGAATACACCAAAACTTCCTCTGCCGTCTCGACTAGCATCCCAACCATCTCTAAATACATCTCCGCCATCTCGTCTTCCTCTCTCCTCCCAGTCCCGTCCTCCTCCACGACCTGGCCCTGAAATTCAAGATATGTACATTGAGGTATTTGAAACATGAGTCGATACGGTTAATCAGATGGGTCTTTGTAGTGTCAAGTTATTGAAAAATGCAAATATCAAGTTAAAACAAATAAGGTCACATCCTACAAGCAACAGACAAAGCTGAACTCTAAAGGACAAACTGATTACAAAGAGCATCATGCAATCAATCATTAGACATGGTATGCCTTTCATAATGAACAATTATGTTCTTACCAGGCAGCTAAGAAAACACCACGTTACTATGCCATTCTGCTAGAGCTACTCATATTTATCTTAGGTTAAGTTTTTGAAGCATCTGCTACTGGTAATTTTTCAGCAAAATTTTGAACAATTATGAATATTGAAAATGTTAAACTTTTTACTGCTCAACAATTGTACAAAACATTTTGTGTTAAAATTGGACCAATCAAATTGAAACAAAGTTGTTCAATTGTAAATATTTTGATAGATGCACTCAGAAATGTTTTGAAATGAAATAAATGAATTCACTCTACACCACCTGAGAAGTCACCACGCCCCCTCCCCCTCTGGTCAAAATTCTCTCTTTGACCTGGCCTGTCAATCATATCGGTGCCTATGAATAAAATGAGACAAAACACATTTGCTAGAGGTTACTAGAAAGGAATGGAGCTAAAACATGGAGACAAGTGGAATGAGCAGTGGAAAAAGGATTACTGGTAAGCCACAGCGGTAACCTCACATAAACGTTGAGACACTAGAAGACAATCTAAAATTTAAAATTGGTGAATTTAAATGTTCTTTCTGTGCAAGATGATCAAAATACTTTCTAAAAAATGTAACCAATCATTTTTTGAGGCAATATTTTATCATGAAAAAATTCCAAAATCACAAAATGCCAATGCTGAAATAAGACTAAAATTGGTCTGACTTTGTATGAAACAACATGTTCAGCAATAACATTTTTTCATTAACCCAGGGGTGGGCAACCTAAGGCCCACGGGGCACATGCGGCCCCCTAAAACTTATCCAGCCCACATGCCCTTTCAGATAAATCTTTCTGTAAAATCTACAAATTGTGAATGATTATATTTTAAAAGCCTTTGAAAATTAATCATTAGTGTCAAATTTACTAACTGTAATAATGATCACAGCAATTTCAAAAAAAAAAATATTCCACTGCTCAATTTTCCAACTGAACTTGGAGTAAGTAAAATGATTATGTAGCCAATTAAATTTTTTTTATTTCTATCCAGCCCTATGCACAAAAAAGGTTTCCCACCACTGGATTAACCAATACAACCATATTAATTGTGAAAGAATTTAGTTTAAATGCTATCAAGCTGGTATTTTTAATATTCCATTTTCAACTTGAATTTTTATTAGATTTATCTCAAATTTGTTAATTTTTAAAAATATCTATTATTTTAAAAAGACTAATTAAAAATATCTATCGCATTTACACTTTAAAAAGGTGATTACAGTTCTTGAAATCAAGTTAGCAGCATCACAAACAACAAGGGTAAGAAAGGGCCAACAGTCACAAAAATAAACTAAAGGTTGAAACAAAGTTCTATCAATCAGAAACACTAAATCCATGCTACGCTAGAGCCCATGACACGCTAGAGCCCATGACATGCTACAGCCCATTAACATTAGCACAATGACCCTCCTCAGCAGCTTTAGATAGAAGAGACGATTTTTTATTCTTTAAAAATATTATGGGATGGCACATACAAGATACAGATAGCAATGCTATCAGTTATTATATTGACCAATCATTTAACACTTTACAAATAAATTTTATCAAGGTAAAACAAATTAGCTCATGGGCTGCATTTTAAAGAATTCATTTAAGAAAATTAAAAATTAGCAACCAAAACATGATGAAAATGAATATAAATGTATTCATAAAACTGTCACCAGTAAGTGGAAAAAAAGGAATAGTATAAGTATTAAATAAACATAATCAGTTTTGCTTAATGTTAATTTTGATTGGCTTTTGGTGGCTTAGACAGTAAGTACAGTCAACTCACTATAACTGGTACTATGGGTGTTGGGGGGGGGGGAAAGGAGAAAGGAGGATATCCATGTTATGAAAAGTCTGTTTTATGAAAGGAAATAAAGTTGTGGCTGATACTGTGAACATAGCCCCTTGCATTACACTACACAAACTTCTATGTTGAATGCTGATACTGTGAAACATAGCCCCTTGCATTACATGACACAAACTTCTATGTTGATTGCTGATACTGTGAACATAGCCCCTTACATTACACTACAAAAAATTCTATGTTGTTAACTACAGTTAACTTATTTAGTAAACCAGCTTGCAGTTCGAGTGCTACTAAATATCTATGGAGACTCATGCAATTAATGCAACCGGTAAAAAAACAAAATTCACAGTCAAAGTTTTAGGGTGGTAAAACAAAAAACATATCAAACCATAATGCAATTTTCTGAATCATCCCAAGTCCTGGGTTATTGTAAGTATATCATAGTTCCATTTTTCTATTCTTGATAATTTAATATTAGGTTTGAGCTTTCAATTCATTAATTATGCTATAAATCATTCAGTTTCCAGAATGTCTATTTTTTTGCTCCAAACTATTCATAATTTTTTTAAATTTATTTTAAAAACATAAAAACAAAAATCTAATCATATATATATATATATATCATATATATATCATATATATATCATATATATATATATATATTTATAAAAGTGAAAGTTTGTTTGTGGGTTTGTGGATTTGTTTGTTCCACAAAAGCTTTTACATGGATAGATGGATATTGACAAAACTTGGCATATATATCCATCATGATCCAGAAGGAACTCTTAAGGGGTTTTGAACTTTTTATTACATTCTGTTTGGGGCCGCGGGCCCCGAATTTGTTTTTTTCCTTAAATGAGCTATATAAATAAAATTAACAACAAATACTCCTAAATGAGTAGATGGATCTTGACCAAACTTAGTACTCATATACTCTATTATTCATATTCAAATACGGAAGGGTACTGAACTAATAATATCCATTCTTTTGGGGCCGGGGACCCAATATCATTTTTCCTTATATAAGCTACTAGCGAGTACCCGGCATGCGTTGCAATGCCACTCAAAGAAAGAAAATGGTTGCATGTTAATTATGTTTTTTCAAGAGTATTTAAATACTCAAAGTTTTTCTTGTTTTTCTATCTGGTATATACACGAATAAATCAGAAGATTTTCCGACGCGAGAGCAGGCCACATACATCTGTCCATGGGAGAAGCATGGGTTTTCCAAATTTAGTCCGCAAACTTGTAGCGATTGTCCCTGTGCTTTGTAGATAGTCATTGTAGACGCGTGTCGCATCGGAAACTGTAGGCGTTTGAATTCAAATGGCATATCTGTTGGAATCATTGGGGTCAATGGCAAAAGTACATCACCTAGTTTAAATTTTCCATTTAAAATAGTAACTTCAATTGAACCAATTTTGGAAGAATCATTTGATGAAATTTACCGTACCTAATGCTTCGATATCAAAGTACGTTTCTCGTTGCAAATCAAGAGCGAAACGTTCGTTTGCAGATCGATTCCGAGAGGTCATTCCCAACTCATGAATCATCAAATATGAATGGTATTTCATGGCACTGACTTTCTTATTCGAATTTCTCAATTTGATGTCAAATGATATCCATCTTCTCCTTGTAAAAATAAAATAGGATATTGCAATCAAACGTATGAGCGATGAGTTTCTGAGACTCGCTGAACATCCCCACTTCTGCGATGAAGAATTATATCATGTGAGTTAAATTCTTCGCCAACTATAACGATCGCCACTTCATCAATTGTTGGTGCATTGTATTGTCTTTCATGTTGGCCGACAGGTGTTTAGTCTGCTCTAACTATGACTTTGTATTCATCAGTCGGCATCTTTTCAAGTGCAATTCTGAACATTTGAATCAATTCGTTGTGTTGCATTAATAACGTTTGCATTGCAGCGACGATTTCTCGTTTAGTGCCCCTATTGATATGACAACGTTGATCAAGTGTTCATCAGTATTCCCCATGAAATCATGTTAAGACATTTGTGATCTGTGTTTGGCATTGGCATAAGAGATCATACACGATAGTAAATTTGGCCTTGCACTTTACTTTAAATGTTGGCATGTAATTCTCGAGCACGATATTTGTTGCACCAAACGATGTCATTTGGAACATGAATTGCACTTGCGTATGTTTGCCAAGAAATGTTTCGATTGGCTATTGTCACCTGATACCAACGTTGATAATGGTTACGATGGTGAATGTAATTCTGGCAATTTCATTTTCACATCCGCGCAGCAAATTCCCGGTGTTTCATTTTTAAATTTGAGGGCACTGCAATACACGCATTATTGATCTATTTTTCAAATAAACAACACTTGGATTAAGACTGTAATCATAATTAGCATCGTAATGGAATGTACTAAGGTTTAATTCAGCGTGCAGTGTTCGTCTGGATTGAGCAGTGCGTACTTTATCGGAATCCAGTCTTGTTTCTCGCTGCTCGAATGTTTCAGACAAACGGGTTTCAGCATTGCTTACTCGGCCGGTTTTGAGTATTGGTTTCTATTGCTCAACTGTTTCAGGTGAACGGTATTGAGCATTGCTACTCGAGTGGATTCTAGTCTTGCTTTCCGTTGCTCAACCGTTTCGAAAGATCGGGACTACTTTTCCTTTCATGCTTGAGGTTTAGATAGACCCACAAATTTTTGTTTGGGTGGAATAATTGATTTGACAGCGAAATTATTGCTTTGTGACATCTGTTGTTAGCAATGGTATTTCCCAATTAACACAACTTGTTAGGTCACAAACAAAATGAAATATCGCTGGGTTTGTATATGATTCAATTAATTTACAATATTCCTAACGCTCATAATTTTCACACGTTAGGATCTCCCATCTTTTTACATGAAAACCTCGCACAATAGGTACGTTCATTGTTGGCAGGAGATTTCCAGTTGTATAGTTTCACATTAATTTGTAAATCGTAAA